GGATTTTGTCCCGTCTGTCTCACCATACAACTCTAGTCCAGGCTTTCCCGATTCCATCGAAACCTCTCATATCAGGGATCGGAGCAATCGTGTCACTCAGGGATCCCAGCGGCCACCAATGACAGCTCCTTCCTCCGGACAGCTGCTGCAACACATCGCCCGGGGCCGGAGATCGCCTTCCCCCTCCTACTAGGCACGATCCATAGAGGGCTGGGAGCGCATATACACTGCGACCATGACCGACATCAGCATCGACAGCTCCAAGCTGCCCGGAGTCAAAGAAGGTACATGGATTGTGAGCCCTCCGAGCCGGGGATGGCCGCGATCGTCAACTTCTGAGCTGCCTTTCTCTCTATTTTACCCCTTCTGTCCCCAGGGGTGCTATTGGAGCTGGCACTAGGCCTGCTGAGTGTAGGATTGTTGCCAGATCACACGTGTATGGGGGGATGCCCCTTGTGGTTAGATCGGGAACACTTCACTAGTCTATTAGTGCACCTTGTATGTACTGACTCACGTGACTTTGTTGTGGCAGAATCATGGGAAATATCTTCACGTGTGTATATATATGTGTGTGTGTGTATGTATGTCCCCTGCAGCAAGTCCTAATTTGGATCTGTGTCAGCTTGTAACTCAAATGTTTGTTTAAAGCTGAACTCTGGGGAAATAAATTATGCTTACAGTAGGGCTTCCCCTGCACAGCAAGGGTTAAAGTGATATTAAAGTCTAAAGGTTCTCAAGCCATTTCAGATGTTGATGAAATCACTTACAATGGATGCTGCTCTTGGTTTTTAATAGTCTTAGCTTCTTGCAAAATCTGCTGGTCCCATTTATCTTGTTTTAGGGTGTCTCCTTTCCCTTGCTGGGTCCTATGGAGTCACTATTATTGTGTGTGTGTGTCTCCACCAACACACAGGCACAGCAAGACAAGCTTCCCCCCCCTCATCCTTTCTCCTCCCCCTCATCCTTTCTCCTCCCCCTCATCCTTTCTCCTCCCCCTCATCCTTTCTCCTCCCCCCC